GCGGAGGGAGCGTTGCTGCGCTCCCAGTCCCGCACTCTCCCGAGTGCGCCACCGGGCTGGCCCCATTTTTCACAAACTTTTTGAGTACCTTCATACTAGGGGTTTGGACTTCAACATACAAATTTTTGGGGGGGATATAATTCAACCCATAACACCTCCCTCCGAGTCGTGATGAGCAAAGATATTTTCAGATGTTATGTGCTGAATTGTGTGTCTCTCCACCCCTCTCCCCTGCCAAATTTGTATGTTGGCCATAAGCCCCCATGCGACTCTATTGGAGGTGGGGCCTTTCCAGAGGTGATTAAGATTAAATGAGGTCATAAGAGTAGAGCCCCAGTCTGGTAGAACTGGTATAAGAAGAGGAAAAGACACTAGCAGTATCTCTCTTTCGTGTGAGGACACAGGGAGATGTGTGTCCATCTGCAAGCCAGGAAGAGAGCCCTCACCAGAACCTGACCATGCTGGCACCCTGATCTCAGACTTCTAGCCTCCGGAACTGTGAGAAAGTAAGTTTCTTTTGTTTAAGCCACTCAGTCTGTGGTATCTTGTTATGGCAGCTCGAGCAGACTAAGGCAGCAGACATTGCCAAATGTCCCCTGGGGGACAAAATGACTGGCTTAGATTATAATAATTGCTCTATCATTTAGCTTCATAACAATTACTGTATCATGTGGCTTCATAATAATTACTGTATCATTTAGCTCGGCCAGGTGTTGGGTGTTGGGAGAAGTTTTTGAGAGAGGATTTGAGGCCTAGGAACAACATGGGTAAAATCCTTCAGGAAGCAGAGGGACTGGGGTCCACAGAAGGCTGTGTGAAGGAAGCAGGGAAGTGGGTGTGCTGTTAGCTGAGTGAGAGGGAGTGGGCTGCAGGCCATTCAGGGCTGGGAAGCATGGGAAAGGGACATTGCCATGTCCTAAGACCACTGGGAGCCAGAGACACGTTTAGGTGAGTGGTGAGATGCATCTGTGATTTGCACAGGACCCTCCAGCACCTGGGAGGAGGATGGGCTTCAGGGAGGATACACATGGTGGGTGGCAGCAGTGAGGAATCGAATGGGGGTGGTCTAGACTCGGGGGTGAGTATGGTGTAGGTGAGCTGGGTTGTCCCAGGACCGCCCCCAGGTTCGAAGATTTGCTAGGAGGACTCAGAGGACTCAGCATATAGTCGTACTTATGGCTATGATTTATTGATTTGTTTATTTATTCCCTAATGATTAGAGATGGTGAGCATTTTTCATGTGCTTATTGGCCATTAGTATATCTATTTTGGAGAAATGTCTACTCA